ATTATCGACCCGAAGAATTATACTAATCAAAGGATATTTTATTTTTTCATTTTTTATTATTTCAAAATCAATAGGATATTTATATACCGATATTCCCTGTATACCTTTCGGAACTCTTTTGTAAGCAGAATCTCAAAGAATCATTTGTTCTTATTTTATAAAAATCTCAACACAAATCGATATTTATTTTTATTTTTATTTTCTCATAGATTATTCTATAAATCATACTTTTTCCGTTTTCAAATAATTTTTTTCCTTTTCCTCTATTATTTTTGTTCTTCAACAGAACGTATAAATAATGCACAGAAAAAAAAAATAATATAACAAATAACTAACACGAGACTGCATCCGCAATGTATTTCTGTGTAACCGCAACGTCACTTGGTATCAGACTATGATGCATATAAAATAATGATACACAGAGAAATTCATCTCTCATGCATGTGCGTCATGTACTCACGAATTGTTTTTCCGGAAATATCTTTATTTATACATGCACATATGGATACAAATAAAAATACAGATTATCGATGAAATAATAATAAGAATGAAAATTGTAATGTGCGCTTTTTTATAAATATGTATTCTTAAATGATAACAAGAAAAAGTGGCAAAAGAAATCCGCACATCGGGCAAGTATTTCCTTGAATTTACTTGGTAAGTTACATTTTCTTTTTTTACATTATTTATATACATGTATAGTTATACATATAAGTTATACATGAGTAGAGCTTTCGTATCTAGTCAGATTACGACTAGTGTATAACGAGAGAGCGCGCTAACCTCGTTTCGACATAAAGCACGCCTCGAACGTCGGAAAATATGGCTTCGGGTAGAGCGTAAATCCTACTGGGAGGATACGAAAGTGCTGCAACGAGTTACGTGTACGAATCTACGTATGTGTATGAATGCGTATATGTATATATATGGACCAGAGTCGACATATAAAAATATAACTAGAGAGGTAAGTGTGCACTAGTGAAAAAGAGCATTCAAATAGATTTAATATTAAATTTTAGATAATACTACTTCGAGGTTCTCGGAATATAAAAGCTTTAACGCATTGTACATATTTTGTGAAAATTATTTAGAAGAAGCTTTTTAGAATAGTTGAGGATTAATGTCATTAGAAGGTTGTTACATATCGCTATTAATAATGATTGCTTACCTTAGGTTAGTGGATTATCACATTAATATTAAACTTCTAAGAGGAGATAAGGATGCTTAAGTAATAGATTAATAAATATCATGTTTTATTTTTTCGATCTCCAATTATAACATTTTACATTATTATATTGCTTGTTATGTTAGATAAAATCGCAATTTATAATTAAAAAAAAAAAAAAACTAGTTTTTATAAACATTAATTCACGAGTTGAAAAATTATACGTGAGTTATGGCTATCGAATGCAAAATAAAATTGAGCAACATGCAGAGGGCGCAAAGTATACGATTTTTGGCAATCTATAGTTAAGTTTACTATACTTGCCTCGCAATCGTATCGAATAGTAACTTCTCTTTCTCTCTCTATCTGTTCCTACATTCTTACATGACTACTAAAATATGCTATAGATGAGTCGAATTATCTTTTACTCAACCTATAGAGACTCGCTATAGTGCGAGCGAGAAACTAAAAAGACCCAACCAATGCAGGAATTGCAGGGTTAATTGTTTAAAAAATAATACAAAATTACATGAAATTAAAAAAAATATTCTATTAATGAAATAATGAAATACTATTACTTAATATTATATCATTAGTACTGCATGTTTTGACATAATTTTTGTGCTCTTAAATTAAATAAACAGTAATTAAACATTTTTGACTGTTTCTCTTTCAAATCCAACTTCCGCCGCTGATATGACAAATAATTTTGTTCGATACTTTGTGCTCAAAAGTAGGAACCCTGACAGACTTGAAGTGAAGGCACACATTTGAGGTTATGGATACATTCTCATCAAGACCTCATACTAAATCCGGACTCGCTTCGCTCGGCCGGATAACTAACTCGGTCTTGATAAGAATGCGCCCGTAGCCTCAAACTCGTGACATCACTTCAAGTCTTCAGAATCTCTACCTTTGTGTATATCTATCGAAAATAACTACTTTTACTCTATCCTTGATGTGAAATATGAGAAAAAACTTTAAAATACTAAAAAAATTATATCGAAAAAACGGTGATTGACATACGTTAAATTTTTCGAAATTAATAAAAAATATTTAAATCATTATACCTACCACAAAATTTTTTAATAAAATCGTTATAATTCAATACGCAACACAAAAAAAATTATAATTGGAAAATTTATTAAACTACAATTGATTTAAAAAAATGATTTAAATTTCTCAAAACGTAAAACTAATTTTTTTATTTTTTTTAGTCAAAAACGTTTTCAAAACTTAAAATGTTTTTTTATCTTTCAGTTATTTTTTAAGATAGTGCGATTTCACTAAAGTTGATTTTGATTTAATTACTTCAATAATAGTTTTATAAATTGGTGGTTTACTATTACTGCTTCGCATTTTTTCTCGTGACATAATAAAACTTGAAAAAACAAAACAATATCAAAAGTATAAATCTCAATAATGTTTGTGTTGGATTCTCTGGACAAAAATAATTCTCAACTACAAAACTTCTAGTTTTATATTTTAGATATTTTGTTCTTAGAAATATACATTTTATAAAAAAAGTATATTTTATTTTATTAGTTTTGAAATGTGAAAAACACATTTAAGGTACATTTGTGCAACTAGAATAAGAAAGCCTGTATAGGTTTGATTTTATGACCTTGTGTTTTACTAAGGACAATACAGAGGGTTAGACCTCACAATAAAATAATTTTAACATTATAGTTAGTCTGTGACTAAACTCTGTCAAGTAACGATACTTTTCTCAATACGATCCTTTTTAAAATAAAGATTCTATTTGAATCACTCTATGTGGATAATAATATATTTATTATCAATCCTATCCGTAACTTCCTACAATTTGCTTTCACAAATTGATTTGGTTAATTTTAGAAAGGTAAAAATAACAACAAAAAAATTGAAAATATTTTATCTTCAAATTCACTCAATGCAATTTCCTTATCTGTTGGTTCTTAATGATAATTTAGCAGTACCTTACCACTTTTGTTTGTGTATTAAGTGTACTAAGACTGATTTAAAAAATTAATATTGTCAGCAGCAATATATTTCTTTTACATTTTTATTACAAATCGAACTTAGCCTAATTAATATGAAAGGATATTATCGAGTGTTGGAATAAAATTTAAAACAACATTAAATATGTAACACAAATGTATTTTTATTTATATACAATATTTACAAATGTATTTTCTATTATTATTTAAATTATCAATAAATATAATTAAAGTCTTACAAAACGTTCAATTCTCATTTTTAAAAATAACAACTTTAGTTAAATGGCCTTTTAATTTCTTTGTTCAATTTATATTCGATGTGTTGTCATTAACTCAATTCATAGTTTCGATTCATACTCTGTACTCGATTATGTGAAGCGCATTTTGAGTTACTCTCAAAATGCGGATAAAAAAAACAATTATGCGTTTATACAATTTTTTTTAACATTGAAATAAATTTATTATACCAAATTAAGGATAAAAGTTATATTAATTTGTAAAACTTCCAAATTTGTAGTTGTTAATTTTTACACGAATAACATTTATATTTTTATTTTATAAAAAAAAAATAGAGAATTCTATCCAAGTTTTTTTTATGAATAACATAATTAAAATTTTTCTAGCAGTGAGTTTCGCTCTGGTATTAAATCAATTACAAATCATCCATTCCATAAATTTTTTAGTGTGATATATTCGTATTTTATTAATTATACGTGTGCGTTGAAATATTTTTTTAGCCTGTTGGAAAAATAATAATTATTTAACAAAGTACAAAATGATTTTTAGTTTCAAATGCAAATACATAGAGAATAATTTTTTTTTATTCAAATTTGAATCAATATCGATGAAATTGCTGAAATTCTTTTCAATCTTTGATGTCAAAAAAATTTTTTTATAAAAATAGTTGTATAACTAGGATGAAACTATACAGTAAAAAATGTTGCGTCGTTGCGTTGAAAATGTTTGTATTAAATATTAATAAACACTTTTATGTGTAAATTTAACACTTTCTTATAATAATTCTCTTAAATCAACTCAAAAAAGTGTTAAATATTTAACACAAATTTTTTACTATGTATTGTGAGGAAATTATTTTTAAGTTCGTGGTTACTGGATCAACCTTTTTTTTAAAGAAGAAAATATTTACAAAAAATGAGTAGCCATTATTTTAAATGCCACCCTTTATTTAGGTTTTTACGTTAATTATTGTTAAAAACAGATAAAAAATTTATTTTGCAATAACAAGCAAAAAATAACTTAAATCTCTTAAGTTCAGTTATAATAATTAAAAATAAAATCGAAGCTCTAGAAGGGCTTATAATTCTCGGCTTAATTCACCTTTTTTTGTTCTATAGATGTGCGGTTTATTGTAACATAATTTAAGCCAGTATTAAATATATGTAATCTCGTTGGGCATTCGAAGTATTTTTTGCCTACCTCCGCAGGCCGTATTCTCTCGTAGGATGAATTTAAAAAGCCATTTAAACAAATTGAAATTAGTAAACCTGATCTTAAAAAATATGTGTTCGATACCTCGAAGGTATATTTGGCATTGAGGTGTTTTTTTTTTTTTAAATAGCTGGGTATATTTTATGTTACAAATGAAATGCAGCCTTATTTGAGCAATGATTATGTTAAAAGAAATGAAAAAAAAAAATAGTAATAATGATAATAACATGTTAGATGATATTTATATATTTATAGTAGTTATGATGCATTTAAACTTTTCAATGATTCCTCATTTTGATCTATAATCCATTGCTCGAGTTTTTACCGTGTAGATTTGTATATGTATGTATATTTTCATATTTATGATTTTTTCTTTTTATTATTTAGAAATGAATTTTAAAACGAGTTCAGATACAGCTTTCCTGAAGTGCTGATGTTCTCACAATTGTTTCAGAATAACGACTTGGTCTTTGTAAGCTGTAAAAATTCTGAAAAAAAGTTGAAAGTTATGATTTTTGCTGTTTATTATTATGGTTTTAACTTTGTTGTTTGTATTTAGTGCAACTGACATTTTTTTGAGCTCTAAAGATTATTTGAACTTTTATTATATTTTTTTTAGAAGCTAAAGTTAATGTTGAATTGAGATACTTACATTAGTCGAAGCTTGAGGATAATCCGGATTTTCAAGAAAGTCATGAAGCATTTCTCGACCCTCCAGGTGGCATGGTCTGCGCGGCAGAGAACCGTAAACTGAAAGTTTTTTATCTGCAAAAAAAAAAAAATACAGAAATAATAATAAAAAAATTATGTGACATCAAGTGATAACTAGTTTTTCATGAGTTTTCGTGTAAGAGAAAATGTAAATTTAGGAAGTGCTTTTCGTTGGTAATAATATTGATAACTATAGACGACTCTTTACAACACAATAAAATTTTCTTGTCCATAAAATACTTGATCTATAAAATATTGTGAATAGAATAGCAATTTACAATCATAGAAACTGTTGAAAAGTACAAAAATAGCTGATAAAAAAATTTGTCAGTAGTTGTTAACTTTTTTTTATTAGCTATGAAATTTTTGGGAGTTGATAAAAAGTGAAGTGAATTTTCATTCATCTTTATTAGATAAATATCTCGGTCTATTGATTTCTCACATCGTGGCGAGGAATAGTATATTACACTACAAGGGCAGAAAGTTGAGATTCCCGCACTGCGCGCCATGTGCCCGAGGCGAAGCCGAGGGCATCATGGCACGCAGTTCAGGGCTCTCAAATTTCTGCCCATGTAGTGTATACTATTTTTCTTGCTATGCGGTCGAAAGTACGTTAAAAATTGCGTTGAAAAAAATTGATGCCTGCCCCCTCGACCAGCAGCACTCGCTTCGCTCGTGCCGCAAATGTCGGGGGCAGGCATCAAATACACCTGTCAATAAAGATTTTAATATATAATTTATCGTATTACTACTTTCTTTTGAGAAAAGATCGTAATTTAACGTCATAAATGTATCATAAATTAACTCTGATTTTAAGAATAAAATAAAAACAGAAAAATGAAATAATAATCGTAAAATGCATATCTAGAAAAAAAAATTAAGAAAAAAATCTGTTTGTATATTTTTTCAAATAATTATTTGTTCACCAATAGATTTATTTATTTGAGAATATCGATCAGAATAAAAAATATTTCTCGTTTTTTTTTTTTTTTGTAATTTAAATATTTAACAAATCTTATTTCATTAAAATAAAATGACAAAGTTAATAGTCACTAAAGGTTTTTAGATAGATTCATTTCTCAGTTGAATGAATAATTTTTTGCTAGAAGCTTGTTGTTTGAATTAGCAAACAGCACTGATCAAATGATAGTGTTTCATATTCAAATTGGTCATACACTCAAATTCACTCAATATATGTTTTGCTCGCATAGAAAACTGAAGTTGAATGATATTCAATAATACAGGCAGTCATACGTAGTATATACATGAAAAAAAAAAATAAAAATATTGTTAAAATGAGTCTCCAACGTATCCTCAAATGATGTTTCATAAAAATAACAAGCCGGTTATTTGATTTAAGAATTCATTTATTTAACTCAAGCATACAGAGAATAGTTCTTGTAATTATATTTAGTGTCGTCAAAACAGGCAACTGTTTTGTCAACATGAGGATTTGGTATAGTTGTTAACTAAATTTAACTCCTAAAATAGTGATACAGATCGTCATTTTGATGATCCGCTGTATAGCCAATTTAGCTATACCACGTCTCCCTAAAAAAAAATAGAAAAACGGAGCTCTTCGAGCTCAAAAGTCTGATAGCAGTTTAATAAAACACTATTTTTTTAATTTTCAAACCGCAATAACTTTTGAATGTTCCGATTTTTACGCAGTTGACGGCATTCAACGCAGTTTTTGAAGCCTCATCAAGAATCTTCAAGTTCGAATTGATTGAACTAGAAATTTCGGAGTAATTCCGAAAAAAAAACATTTTTTGGTTTTCTTTTGATAATGATAATTCACGAACAAATCAACCGATTTTGAACGGACTGGCGGCGATTGACGTGATTTTTTGAGGTTAAGTGCTGATTAGTTTTTGGAATTGATCGGTAAAGCCGTTTAAAAGTTATTCCAAAAAACCACATTTGAAAAAATTTTTCTTCGTAGTTTTTTTGAGAATTCTCAAAATCTACCGGTCCGAATCGCGGTTTAAAATCACAAGAAATCTAAGCTTGATGGAACTCTTTAAAACGCCACTAGTTTGGTTCCAATCTAATTCATTAACAATACAGCATTTAGTTAACGTATTCTATTTCAAACTCACTACTTTCTACTTTAATAGAGCTTCAACACCGTAATAGTACTTAACTTTGATGTATTAACTCGGTAGCTACTAATACGGGATATTTACTTGTTTCTATGCATCGATTTATATAGTTTATTATATAGTTAGCAAAACAGAGACTAAATAACCAACGTCAAACATTTAAGGTTCGCTATTAATTTTGTGAATTCCAGTTAATCCTTAGCTAAACCTGAATGCTTTTGTATATTTAGGATTGAATAGAGGTGTTATGTAATTCAACAAAAATTTTTACGAAATGAAAATGCGTTAAGTCGTGAAAACTCTTATATAGTTAGGTAACATCTTTATTATTATAATATATATTTAAAGCTTCACTAATTACTTGGAATAAAAGGTAAATAAAAATTGAACATTATGGTTCAAAGTAATCCATTAGATCGTAATATAAGTTGATCAACTCAAGAGAAGTTAACTAGTATTTAATTAAAGGATAAGTTGAAAGAACAAAGTAGTTAACACCTAATAGATGCAACATGCATGCAAACACCTTTGATGTGAGGAACCACATTCAAATTTGAGAGCATTGCCGTTAAAAGACGGATATGAGAGAGTTTCCTATTTAATAAAATGTCTTTGTAGATACACGGTGAGAAATTTCCATTATTTTTTATTCTGCATGGATTTTAGATTTTACAATGGTGCATATTACTAGTGAACCTTATTGACTCAGAATAAAATTTTACAATGGCCCATAGTAATTTTCGAAACAAATGAAATCAGACATAGCAAACGGTAGAAATTGAAATGTACCATAGTAAAATGAAATATGCAATAATTTAAATTTCCGAATGTACTATAGCAAAAAAAATAAGAAAATGTTTGTAAAAAATAAAAAATTTTAGAGTAAAAAATATTTTTAGCAATCAAAAAAAATATCAAACCAAACAAGATTTTTTTTGTATGCAATAATTTTTAAAAATATTGTTTTGAAATATAGTTTTTTTTTTATTTGTTTTCTATTTTTTTTAATTTGAACGTAGGATTTATTTTGGCAATTAATTTTATTATAAATAATTATAAACACAATGTATAACTTTTAGATTATTTTTTATTATTATTAGAAAAGTGTCGGTTGCAGGTTAAATGTTTGTTTTCATTTTAATTTTTCACGGTAAATTATTAAATATTTTATTATTTAGGAATCTTACAAATTTTTATTAACTATTCATATGTTGATGGATTTATAAATTAATATTTATTTAAAACTTAATGTTTATTGCAATTTTCATAACACCGTTAACCACTAGTATCTGTACACTTATGTTGACAAAACAAAGCAGCACGAAAAAATGAGAGCGCGCGTCGCGACTGACGCGCATACTTTTACTATGGGACATTTGAAAATTTCATAGTCACAATTTTAAATTTAAACCGAGTACACGTGACTAAATGTCAAACTTTTTTACAAATTTTTATTGTCGACTGAGCAACAGAAATTTTACTATGGAACTATAATGAAAAGTTTTAAGCACACTAACAGTTTTTGTTCTGTCAGTTTACGAAAATTTTTTATATATGTTTATGTAACAGTTGCATGGTCAAATTTACTATGGTCCCTAATAAATATTGATTGGTACAATATGATATTCTTAAATTTTTATGGTAATATTTTGAATTGAGTCATTAAGGTTCAGTCTTATTATGTATGCATAGTAAATTTCAACAGAAATTTCTCACCGTGTAGCATTATTCATGATGAGTCAAAGTTAATTTAATTAACAAGAGAATTAATTTGGTATATGATTGTGATGTGAGCTAGTTTAAAGGTACAACAAATCAATGATAAACTACACAGAGAAAATTAATTGATTGTAATTATTATCGCTCTTCAAAGTAACTATTACTATGATAATGATATGATTTTAGTCAATTAAATTCCAAGGCTAGTAACTATTATGGAAGAAGGATAATAATTATAATCATTTACATTTCTCTGTGTATATTTAATGCCAAGATATAATTCTTTGAGTATTTTGAAAAACTATGCATATACATTATATATACAGTAGAGATAATTAAATGTACCGTGAATTTTTTTAAAATTTATGTAATGTAATGAGTAATGAGATACAAAGGTTACCGAGTGTATATGACACCTAAAAAATAAAATTATCCTCTAACTATAACAAAACAATTTTTTTCAAGCATTTAATTTCTAGCATGACAAGTTGTTTTAAGTTTAATGCATTTTAGTCTTTCTTTAAATATAAATTTATGATTCATCCATTAAAAATATCTCTCTTAAGAATGAACGATAACACAATTAGTCAAATACAGAGCATATTGTTTAGGACAAGCAATGAAAATGAAACCAGTAAAGCAATTTAAATAAATCTGTTGTTACTCAATTGATTTAATATAACAATCATACTTATTCTGTATCTTTTGGATAAAGTGGAAATCTTTTGACGGAATTCAACCGCTAAGTACTTCAAGAGTAGGTGTGAGAAAGTTTTAAGTTGTTAAAAGTACTACGAAAGATAAAAGTAAGAAAGTGAATGAGTAATGAATGTATTTCTCAAGTGACTGTTGAGAGTAACGAGTCTCAGCTAATCTCGCGAAGAAGTAGACTTCAGACTCGTAAGGGGTAGCAGCAGGATGACTTGTGATGTTATATAACTTTCTGTTAGAGCAACTACTAAGGTTATCTCTGAAACAACGTATATATAGATGATAGCTCCCCTCGATAGGCAAAAACTTAGTATATAAGCATTTAGTTTTGTTTTGCTCACTTTGCTCACTTTACTCTTCACACACAAATTTACAATATTGAATTGAAATTCAATCGTAACTTGATTCGTCATTCTCAAAATAACTTTTATTATTGGATATTCAGAGAGGAAAACTTTAGATAAAATTTTGTTTTGAGATCGGTAACGCTTAAGTCTTTCGACAACTTCTTTTTATAGACTTACTTCCAAACTGTACAACAAACGTTTTAAATTTCTTTTCATTTTTTTTTTTTTTTTTTTGAAATATTACCTTCTAATAATATCACATTGCCATCTAAACTACTTTTTTAGTGTTATTTTTCATACTCCACTTGGAAAATTGAAAATTTCGACAGATGAACGGTATTGGTTTGAGTTAAATTAAAAAAATTATGCTTTGTACAGATTTGAACGAGTTCTTGTAAATAAAATCAATTCTGTAGTAATCCATTTCTTTAGTTTTATAATTTATTCAAGTTATAACTATACTCTTTACAATATTCGAATGAAGTTAATTAAATCTCACAATAAATAATCAATCCCGTAGAATATAGTTATCAGTAAATGATACAATAGATAGTTCGTGTATAAATAATAATGTCAAGATAGTACTTCGCGATTACAATAATACGATAAGTAACATAAAGGAAAATAGGACCAGTGTCCTAGACCGTAGATGTGTGTGTCTCAGAGGCTGAGGAAAATCTGCCTCATGCCCCTTGACTCTTGAGGGTGTTAGCCTTTGCTAACACTTAGCGTTGTTCTTGGGGTCCCGTGACGTCATGAGCCCCTAGAATGCCGGGGAAGGGATTTTATGGCCCAAAGAGTACAGTGGTTGACGAAAAGTTTCGAGAGTGGAAAAATACTCCCACAATTCTAATAATCTGATAACATTTTTTATTGCTTCAAATATGTAAATACGTGGCTATGCGGGTATTATTTTGTGAACATATGGATTTTAACAGACTTTCCGAAAAAATTTTCTGATTCATGGCTTTATATTAGACTCTAAATAAAAAAAAAATAATTGTTTATAATTTTTCAATTGATTTTTTTTCTATAAATGTGTATATCATTTAAGAAGTTACATTAAAGAAAAATTGATTTGAGTAGTTGATTAAACTATAAACCAATACCAGATAAGCTCCTCAGAAGAATGAGAGTAAAAGAGCTTAAGGGGGGAAATACGTGTACAGGCTTAAAAAAATTCAATTTTTTTTTATATAAATCGCTTGTAAAACTATTCAAAAATATAGATTTAAAATTTCAAGTCAAAATTCCTATTCGTTCAAAAGTTATAAGCGATTTAATAATTACTTTAATATTATTTTACATTAACTTTTTCTGTCAATTTTTTTTCAAACGCGTTTTTCTCGAAACGAGTTTTTTCAAAACTGTGTGCAGTCTAGCTCAAAGAGTTTTAAACCAATCATCTTGCGATATGGCTTATAATTTTCTTTATACAATTACCTTTCATATGAACTTCAATCGAAAGCGATATTTTTATTTAAACTTTTTTTTTTTTAATAAACAATCTGTGAAAAAGTGGTAAAAAATCACGACTTAATTTTACAGCCCCCTAAAAAATGCAAATTTTTACTTTTTTTTTTAAATCGAGGTTCATATGGAAGATACACATATAAATGAAGTAATTGTTCTGTGCCATTGATTTCAAATAAAAATTGTGGCTTCCATACTGCACACAAACTGCTAAGTCGGATGACAACCTACGATGTGTATCAACTGATATCTCTGCTATTTGTTAACTTATATTGTTGTTTAATACGAAAAAATATTCATAAATATATGTATAAAATAACCTGATAGTTTCAATAAATAACATTAATTTTTTATACCTTAAAAAAATTAATGAAAATCAGCATTAAAACGGCCTTCCCCACGTATTTCCTCCCTTAATTACTTGAACTCAACTCTATTTTTTTTTTTTTATTTAGAGTATTTTATTTCTCAAAATCTAAGGGTCCAAATCGGTCCAAATTTTCGCCCCCCCCCCCCCCCCCACACACTCATACATGCATACATACATACATACATACAGACATAGTGACAACATTGCGGGAATAGTCAGGGAAGCTTCCTGTGACGTTAAAACGTCGAGATATGATGAAAAGTCGATTTTTGAAAAAACATTAAAGGCTATATAAGTGACAAAAAACAATTAGTGTTTTCTATAATATAAGTTGGACAAAATTTTATTGGTTGAAACTAATATTACCTTTACTATCTAATTTTATGCCGAATAATTTTGACAAAATTTTATACATCAACAAGGGAGTTTATTTTGCAGAAATTTTCGCCGAGAGTAACGCTGATCACATGGTTTTATGTTAAGAGTATGTAACAATATGTTATGCAAGACAAAGCACAATAAAATCACAAAATTACCTGACAAATGATTACTTAAAACAGTAGTAGGTATGATGTCAGGATTGCCATCCTCTTCTTCACCCTTTCCAGTGAATGAAGAAATAGTCGGTTGTTGAGATTGTTTTGGCTTAGTCGGCGTCGCGGCATGTCTTCTCCACAATGCCATCAGTACACCCATGACAATGAGTCCCAATCCCGTCGCCGTCCCACCCAAGCCAATTAAAATGGGCGACATATCTACTGACGACGTTGAATCACCTTAAAAAATAAACAATTAAATTGACGGGCCTCCAATATGAACTTATTTTATGAAAAACAAGAAATTTCCAATTTAAAATTGGCACATAAAATAGAAGATATCATTTCCAATTATTTTAACAATATTATTGTACCAATTAGTATGGTAATTAATCAGCATAAAATATGACCACAGCATAATAAAATTGAATCAAGCAATTAAATTATTTACATAAATGTCTATTAAAACAGTTAAATTAGCATTTTCCTCAATTAATTAATATATCATAAGAAGAAATAAACAAATATATATGTATAAACTTGTTCAAAATATATGGTTGTATCTGTAGCATGCTGGCTAATGCTGAGAAGAAACATTTCCGGTTATTTGGACGTACATACACTAGATGCTTCCGTATTGCAGAAAGGCACTTTGCATGAGGGGTGATGTTTTACTCAGAGCAAGAAGAGAGAAAACAGAATGCATAATAATAGCTCATAAATTTGGCGTGGTTCGCTTTCTAGTTTGCGGTAGAGTAGTAGTGGGCTGGCCACCGGCTGAACTGCAGACTATGTTACAGCCTCAAAATTGGTTTCTATATCTATATATCTATCTCTATCTCTATCTCTTCCTCTATCTATACACCACGTGCTATTGGTATATCTATAATATACACACATATATTTACATAAAACTTAACATGTTTATTTTATATATTAATTGTTTTCTCTCTCTCTCTCTCTCTCTTCCTTTCGGGTAGATAATAACAGCGTCCCAACGATCACTGTATCAACAGAGATGACCCGATTTCCGGTTTGAGTCTTCGAGTGTCTCTTAGTACCCACACCTTAATTTGCATCTTTATTATAATTTTATTTATATATTTAGGAGGAGAAATGGAGTAGCTAAGCGAAAAATAAAACAAATTAAAAGTTGTCACTGACGATAACTTTTTTTATGCGTTCGAAATGAGCTGCTCTAGGAATAGGAAAACTTTTTTTATAAAATCAATAAAAATAAAATGTATGTCAATGTTAAAAGTTTCAAATTATATTTTTTAGAAAACAATTTTTTTGTTAGTATAGTTTCAGATTACTTATACAAATTGTATTTAAATTTTTCTTGGGAAGTAAAAAGTTAAAAAATTTTGGAAAATTAAAAAATACACGACTCTTAATGCCCATTTGATGGCACTCTATAAATCTTCACGTTATGATTTGCACAAAAATTTCAATTGTAATTGGATTTGATAGCCAATTGCGATATGAAAGGCTTCTGGAGGTTTTTCAAAAAACAATGAATTAAATGAAGAATTTTTTTCAAATAACTGTATTGTTTAATTCTAAATTATTTTCGATTGATTGAAAATAAAACTTTTTTATTTTTATTTTTTTATAAATTGTTTACATTTTCATACAAACGATTTTGTTTCCGTGACTTCACAAAAGTGTAATGATGAAAATAGTTGCAGAAATGGGACGAAGAAAATGTATCGACCGTAGAACACTCTCTAATGCATTGCAATATTAGTCGTGCAATTCATGAGAAGATTTAATGCTTCACGGTTGTATTATTTGAAAATTTTTACTATTACAAATATTATTGATACTTTATTTTTGCAGTCTTCTGTTAGTCATCAAGTCTTGGTGGTTATTTTAAACCATAGATAAATTTAAAACTACGTAAAACTAATAAAGTTTTTTATAAAAAACTGTTCATTATGTCTGTACTATTAATTTATTCCCGAGGAAAAATTTTCTATGTTTGTATACGGCCTGATGTATTCTGATTTGAAAATAATGTAGATCAATTAAATCATATGAGGTCATATTAGAAAGTTTTTTCACCGACTATTAAAAGTCGACTAATTAATGAAATGAATGAGTAATTTCTTCTAGTAATAATTAATCACAGCATTGTTGAAGTGAATATTTTTTATAAACTTGTTATTCGACTTGAAATTAGTTGAATAAATTAATTGTAGTATTCTGAGAATAGTGGAGTGAATTATGAACTGTTCTGATAAATTGTTTTACAACTCCGATTCAAAATTTAATAACCAGGCGTGATGCATCTACTCACGAAGTACATTTCCATCTAAATCATTTAGGTACGTTACTTTAACAACATATGCTTCTTACTATCAATATAAACAACAAATAGCTATTCCTTCTCATTACCACAGTTTGTATGTTTTATTACTACAGTTTTCATTGAAACACATTGTGACCTATCACATGAACGCTATTCGTAGCTATTTTATCGAGTTACTCGTGGTTTCATCGCGGTCTATCGTACTGCTACCAGAATCCCCTGGATATAGCAATAATACTATTAACGTTGGACGCTGATGGTAGAACATTGCGTTCAAACGCGTTGGTACTATTACTAGCCGTCGTTCCTCGTAAACTCATTCTTGTTAAGCTGAACGTCACTCACTTATTATTATGCATTAAGCACATTAATCGATGAATGTAATTAGTAATGAGTAATGAAAATTTTATTGATACTATAACAGTATAATGTATAATATGAATTACAAATTTAAAAGTGAAACATTAATGTTTAGATTGGCAAAATTTCTAAAGCTACTAGCATACTAATACTTATTCAATAATTCAACACTCAGGCTATAAGTATTTTACGTAATCGATTCGACTCAATTTATTGGACATGTTGTATTTTTAAAAATCTAATAATTTCACGATATGCAGTTTTATAAATATGTACAATAAGAGATAACATTTTTAAAAAAAAAAAAAAAATGGGCATTGCTGTGACAAGAAATTAATTTGTTAAAAATTTTCAAGAAATTAATTTCTTATTACAACATTGCTAATTTTTTTCAAAGGAAATTTTTTCTCTCAGTGTATTTTAAAATTTTTAAGAATGAGTACTTTATCGCGGGTAATTTGCTTTGTTTGTAAGTATTTTACCTCATAAAGCCAAGTAATATCTGAGGAAAAAACTAAAAACAGTGAAGAAAAAAAAAATAGAGAGAGTAAAAACAAAAGCTTAAAGTACATTCATAAAATTACTTGTCTGAAAAAATGTAACTGAGAAATTTCCGCATTTAAAAAATTATGATTCAGAACAATTGGGCCTTAAAAAATTATCACTGAGAAATTGATGCAAAAAATTATAGATCAGAAAAAATCTTGAACTAGAACATAATTTTTAAGAGTTCAATAATCATGAATCAAGCTGTAAACTTCTTGAACTAAGATACTGTAGTGGCCGAGTTGGTAAGACGTCGAGACATTGTCCGTACATGCTTGTAAATTAAATATATAATATATAATATAATAATAATAATAATAATAATAATATTATTATTATAATATTATGTGATATTATATAATATTATTTGATATTATAATGTATATATATATATATATATATATATATATATATATATATATATATATATA